TTCTTCTTCTGAAGAAGAATAGTGAACTATTCAAAAATGCACGAGTTTTGGATCTCGTTTAAAAACCATTAATATATTTTAAATATTTAGGTAAGTTTCTTGAATTTTAACTTACCTTTGCTATTTTTTTTAGTGTTTATTCCACAAAAAGTACATGGAAACTATTTTAATGATACTAAGATGTGTAGGGTCAAAGTTTGTATAATTTGGTAATTAGCTTCAAATCCTTGGGTTCAGCTTGGTTAAAAGCAAGCAAATGAAAGCAAGGTTTGGCCAGAAAATGAACTAGCATATAACACTTTTCTGTTCCAAGCTAAGGAGACCACTTCTCGTAGTGAAATATATCAGCTACCAATTAACCTAACAAATAATGGTCATTTTTATCTTATTAATTCAGCATTTTTTTGGCAATAGAAATATATTACACTTAAGATTAAGCCAATCAAATAGAGAGAATCTATATGTTTTACTCTAACTGTATATAGAGAGCAGCGATGCTATATTGACATAAACAACCTTGGCAAGCCTTGAAATGTTACACATTTGTTTTGGATAGTTATGCAAAGCTATGCAATGGCTAACTGCACTAGCCAACCCTAATTTTGGCCTAATAGACTAGAAGAAAGGCAGCTAGTCAACAGTATCTAATGTCAACTCTTTGGCTATTCTAATCAAGTAGTGGGATTTGAACATAAACTTTAACAATGCATCTGCAGCCCTAAAGTGTAAAATACAATTTTGCAGCAATGGGACATGAACCATAGATCTTCAGATTCACAGTCCTCCAAAATAGCTACTAGGCCACACCCAACCCAACATTATAACTTCCAAAAAGACAATCAGCCAACAGACCATGGATCTTCAGATTCACAGTCCAGCAAAGTAGCTACTAGGCCACACCCTACCCATCATAACTTCCAAAAAGATTCAGCCATCAGAATGTATACACTTATATTTGGCATGCAAGAATTGAACTGAAGGTTATGATTTTTCATACCAAAACATACATATAACATTACAAATGGATATTGCTCTCTACAAGCTTTACAGTTACGCAAAATGTTTTTCTTTTATTTCTTGAAGTGCAATACAGCATTGAGTCTGGAGATCAAAAACTGCAGTTGGGCATATTGCACAAAAAGCATGAAAGTACAGGAGAGGCACAAAAAAAAGTTAAATATAACTTAAAACTTTACCTGTTTCAAGTTTATATACTTCATCCTGCAGTATTTCCAACTTGTGTTGCATCTGTTGAAATCTTTTTCCAGCTACAGTGCTACAGATTGAGAATGAAAAAGCATTTAGTTTGAAATGATGTAATTCTATTAAAAAAGACTCTGGACACACAAAATTTATCTTTGAGTTCCCATCTGGTTATTATTTAGTGTGCAAAAAAGTCCACTTCACATAACACATATTCATTCTAGTAAAGATTCAGAATACTAATCAATATTCATGATACAGTGGGCAAAAAATGACGAATTTTAAACCATGTGGAGCAGTTAATATTAAATGTCAAGATTAATAAAGAGAGATAACTAAGTACAAGTTAAGTAAAGAATACTGAAGCAAGTTTACAAGTTGGGAGCTTAACTGAACAAATATATGTACACACACACATATTAACTCTTACAATTTAAATCTCAAGTCTGAAAAACATTAAAATGTAACATAACTGACTGCTTGCTAAGTATTAAAAAAGTTATAAAACGATGACTTTGATCACTAATAATTTGATTAGCAAAACATTCCTTACAAACTCAAAACTCTAGAAGTAAATCAACACACTAAGATTTTTTCTGTATAGATATATATACTTTTATTCCTTGCTATTTATAATCAATATATTGTAATTACTTCATTTTCAATAGGATTATTATTTTGATAAGTTTTCTAAATTCTGGTAGTTAATTGTTTGTTTGTTTGTAATTAAGCATAAAGCTACACGATGGGATATCTGTGCTCTGCCCACCACGGGTATCGAAACCCGGATTCTAGTGTTGTAAGTCCACAGACATACCACTGTGCCACTGGGGGTGCTGGTAGTTAATAAAAACAATTACAAATCAGAGAAATTTTTCTATGCACTGGGAATTTTACTATAACCCTCATATTTCACCTACCAATGCTACACAACTAACCTGAAGAACTAGCATGCATAATAAAAATATCATTAAAATTATTTTACCTTGGATCTTCTAGGCTTTCAGAATTGTTTAACCTTTCTAAAAGTTTTTCATTTTCTTGCATTAAACTTGCCTTCTCATCTTGTAATGCTGCCACCTTAATAACAAAACAATTTTATTATTATGAAAGAAAACAAAACCAAAGCAAATTAAATAAAACTCTTAATGCCATTAAGCAATAAAATAAAAAAAGAAAATAAAAAAACCTGAGTCAATACAGTGATACATTTTGTTTGGCAATACGAGAAAAATGAAATCTAAAGTTCAGAACTGAGAATTATTTTCACGTTTCTAACATACAAATTAAAATTCAAAAGTTTGAAAGCTTTCTTATTTTACCCTCTTTCTTTCACACAAAATTTTATTAAAATATTTGTATAACACTGGTGGCAAGACATCAAGCACAATAATAGAACTGTTTAGGAGTAAAAAGAATCGATTATGAAGAAACATTTTTTTAAAAAAGAGTTCCGATTAAAAAATTTTAAATGTTTCTTACCTGCATATCTAATTCATGACAACGTTGGCTAATTTGTTCCTTGGCTTCTGAAGCTGCTTGAAGTTCTTCAGCAGTTTTTTTTAATTGTTCATTAAGCTCAACATAAGAGTCTCCCGAGTAGCTGGTAGGTATTTCCTTGGTAATTAACTAACATAAAGGACATTGTTTACGTTACACTGTTAACTAATGTTATTTTCTTGTAACTTGAAAACAAAAAATTAAACTTTAAGAAAACCTACAGAAATATCCATAAAAAACAAATATATATCAAGATTTAACTAAAACTAATAATGTCCAATTTATATTAAGACACTAGTTCAGATTTTGTTAAGATATTTCTTTATCTCCGAACTCAACAGCACAACATTTTTTAAGTATAATATGATCAATACTACAAATCACACTATTTTTCTTGTTTTTGAATGCCACACAAAACTACTTGTAATAGTTTTCAAACAAGACCCAATACTGGAGTGCTTTTGAATAGTTCAATACTCTTCTCCTCCTGAGGAAGAATAGTGAACTATTTGAAAGTGCTCAAGTTTTGGGTCTCTTTTGAAAACCATTACAACTTTTATATGTGATTGTGTGTGCTAACTTCTTAATCAGAACACAAAACCACTTGAAAGCTATATGCACTAGCCATTCCTAATTTTGAAGTGATAGAATAGTGAAAAGGCAGCTGGTTAACAACTGTCAATTCTTGGACTACTCTTATTAGACCAAGTACTGGGACTTGGTTATCACTTTTATAATGCATCCACAGTCTCCAAGTGCATAGAAATATTTTTTTTGTAGCAATGGAACATAAACCACAGAATCTCAGATCCACAGTCTGGCACAATAACTAATGGTCCACTTGATCCATTACACTAATAAATGGCATCATTAAATAAAGATGAAGTATAAAAAATCAAGTTTAGTAACATGATCAAACTAGAGTAAATATTTTCTTTAATCATACTTCTATATTATTTCAATGCTCAAAATATTGAAAAATAAAAAATCTAATATCTATTGAATTTTTCTATAAATCAATCTGAAGTTTAATATGAAAGTTAAATCCATTTCAGCTTGGCACAGAAATTTCAAAAAGGAAATTTTTAAAAAACATTTAATATTTTTTGAATTCTTCTATAAACCGATCTGAAGTTTAATATTGTTTAATATAAAAGTTAAATCCATTTCAGCTTGGCATACAAAGTTTGAAAAGGAAATTGTAAACTTAATTCATCTGAGGTGGACTACCTGTTTATAGTCATAAAAGTTGAAAAAGTACTTAGTAAAATTCATCTATTAAACAATAATACAAGTGGAGAAACAAACTTTATACACTAGCTTACCTATAAATTTAACTTGACAAATAATGGATACAGTATAAAGTACTATATATATTTTATTTAAAAGAAAATCCCATCTAGCATGGAAAATTTAAAAGAATAATTGTATGTCTTCTTTCCTGATACCCCATATAAATCTTCTTAAACCAGGTTTAGTTGCAAAAAAAAAATTGCTTGTGTTCTAATGTCTAGAAATAATTTGAAACAACTACAAGTCATACATAGCTGTCATTTTGTAGTTTTGATATGATTTTTGGTTTCCAAAGAAAACAAGGAAATAACATTCAATTCTCCTTTAAAAACTTTCATACCCCTGAGCAGCTTTTGCTTTAATAATTTAAACAAAAAAAAAGGTGTGTGCAGAAAGTAAACTGAAAGACTGTGGTAAAATTTACCTCTTGTATCACATTCATCACTACATGCTGAACATCTTCCTCTAATCCCATAATTGCTTCTATATATTCTACAAATAATACAAACAAACAGTTTCATGACAAAACAAATATAGCTAGAAGAGAATACTGGACTACCTCTTATCTTTAGTAAATGTCTAACTGAACAACACTATGATATCATTGTTGTCAATTAAAATAACAGCAACTTGTAAAAAGTCACTACTGTAGAATTATCACAAAATTATGTGTGTGTATGTATATACATATAGTTGAATAGTAGTATTTTACATTACCCATTTGAATTAAAAAATTAACCTAGGATCTATTTATTAATCTTGTCTATAATGATTTATATAGTTTCTCATTTTATTTTTGCTATTTAAGAGAGGACATATTTCATTACTTCTCTAATACATTCCTGCCACATTCTAATAGTGGATCAGATATGAGTTTCCATATTTTTTTAATGAACTGGAATGTTCTCCTCGAATATATACACATTTTACACATATTAAAACTCATAATTATATATAGTAATGTTTGTTCAATAAATAAATAAAATACAATTTTGACTATACGTATATAATAATTTTTTATTGCATAAATTTTTAAAAACCAAACACAAAGTTTAATAGCAAGCCATTTCTTAACAAAATACAATAAACTTCTTCTTGGGCTTAAATTGTTTTCTTTTTTTTTTGCTATGAAGATCATAGGTTACTTATCACGTATCTTCAAACATACACACATAAAACAATAACATACCTTGTTTTCTATCACAGTTAACTGCACAGCCCAATACTAATTGTAACATACGTCCCAATTCTACTGGATTACTATTTTCTCCTATGGCATTTACGTCAGGCATTTTAAAACCTATTATCTGTTGCCCAAGTGCCTTCAAAATAAAAACTAAATTACATTTCCACTACAATGCACTAAATACATAAAATGTGAAGTTCAAGTGATAACAAGATACAAAGAGAAACCAAACTATGTTCAACTTAAGTTAACACTGATTTCATGTTCATAATTTTAATGAACCAAACCACTGTGGTATGTTCAACTTAAGTTAATACTGATTTCATGTTCATAATTTTAATGAACCAAACCACTGTGGTATGTTCAACTTAAGTTAATACTGATTTCATGTTCATAATTTTAATGAACCAAACCACTGTGGTATGTTCAACTTAAGTTAATACTGATTTCATGTTCATAATTTTAATGAACCAAACCACTATGGTATATTCAACTTAAGTTAATATTGATTTCATATTCATAATTTTAACTAACCAAAAACCTTAGTTATTCCCAGTAGCATGAAGCATAAAAAGAAATTACATTAATTTAGTAATTATTGGATTGTCTGAGATAAAACAATTTCCTTTCTGAAATAACAAAATAACTTTTTTTTATTATCATGAAAATATTATTGCTCATATATTATCAGTTACAATAACTGATAACGAACCATATTCATATCAGTATAAAAATAAATAGTAACCATATACAAACTGAAAAAATTTTGAAGCAATATTGACTTCAGCAGCAAATATTGCATGTTTTGATCGCTATTTTAACACCATTTTAAAGTTAAACACAGATTTATATTTTTGTGTAAAAAAAAATCTTACCTCATTATAGTAGTCTAAAATTCCTTTAAGTATCTTCCTTAGATTACTGACCTGTAGTAACAGCAGTAAGTTAAAATTTAAATATTTGCATTCACACTAATCAAACATAGGAAAGCAATTAGAAGTACACTATACACCATCGTATGTTTATAGCACTGAAATATTAGGTACTATTTTCATCTCAAATATGAATAAAAAGAAATATACTACTTCCTTTTTAATTTGAAGAATCTGTGTTGAAGTACATAAACATGGCACAAAGAATGCTAAAGCACCAACATGTTTAAATGCTTCAAGTCATATTTTTACACAGCAGAAACTTAAGTGTGAGGCAACTAGCTTCTGGACACACATACACATGACAGTACTTCACTACTGGTTTTACTAATAACAATTGTCGATCTTAAGAGTAAAATAATTTTTTTCTAACTAAAAAAAAAAGACTTGTAGTAATCAAATTTAAGACCAAACATTATATTTCCAATACAAAAGATATAACAAAATCAAACATCAACAAGAGATAAATCCTTACTTACAAACTTATATACCATGAAGAAACTAATTAAATATGTGGGCTATTTACCAATCATGTCAGTACACACACACTGAATATTTCAAAAATGCAAGTACCAAATGGGAGACAATAAAAGTTTTGAACTTTGGGAAAATAAGCTAGCATTTGACATTTTTTCAAAAACATATTTGTTCGTATTACTGTAAATAACAAAACCTAAACCATAACCAACTTATCACTGAGTTATACGAGATTGGGGAATTACACCCTTCATCAGTAATCGTAGACAGGGCAAATTAAAATAATAAAATGGTGAAGTATATATGTATGGAGTTTTGAAATGTCTCTTCCTCATAAAGTAATTAATCCTCTATTTATATAAAAATAAGACTAGTGTGTGAGTAAAAGACATTTCAAAACTCCATGACCAACTAAGAACTACACTTTTAAGCTATATCACTTTCATAAGGACAGTTGATTGTAGAAGTGTTGCTCAAAATATCAAGCAAAAAGATAAAAAAAAGAATATAAATTGCTAAGTATTATCACAAAACAACCCTCTCATAAAGACCTTGTAAAATATTAAACTGCAAAAATAAAAAATATTTAAATGAAGAGCTAATTAACCATTGTTTCAAATGTTTACATTACTTTTTAAAAAGGCTTAATTTGCTTTGTAAATAGAAATTATGAAAACTAAAATTATTATTATCATACAAAGAAATATAAAATAAGAATAAAAAATGGTTGAGAACAGCTTAAGCTTAAAACTTCTACAAAACTATTTCTAAAAAAGATAATGCACAACCTTAAGCCTCCAGTTACTCCCTGTGCCAGACTTTATCTTTGCTAACCATCCACTGTTAAAATATTCTGGTGCTCTGAAAGGAACAAGCACAAGATATTAAAACAAAAATTAAAAAGAGAGAGAACAGTAACTTATGTAAAAAAGTCAGAAGTGCAATTTAATCAGAACTACCTTCATGTTCTCTTATTAAGAATGATTTCTGTTTCCTTTGATGTTATTTTTCTTATAGAGTTTCAAAACACTAAAAATCACTAAATAAAATCCTCTCAATATCATACCAACATACTTTCACATAGAACTGTTGTAACAAGTATTTATGAAAACATTATGATACCTCTCTTCAGCTGGTGTCAATTATTTAGGATTTTAAAATTAAAACTAGTTAACATTCAGAAAAGTAGGGAACTTCAGATTTCAACAGATAACAAAATTGTACTTAGATATGTAACATAACATCCTAATGTAACTGTCTAAATATATACTATTTTTCAGAACTAATCTATGAAGCACATAATGTTAATATAAACAAATAAGGCTGGTGCTTGCGTGTCAACAGTGACAGAATATTTTCTCATGGTGAAAACCAAAAAACTTGAAATAGATAATTTTCTTTAACCTCATCTTTGCTCATGGAAAGCAAACTTGAGCTACTGCAGATTTTCTTTTGTAAGGTGGCACTGGTTATGTGCTGTTAAAGGTACTAGAATAAATACAGCAAATCATTACACCTCACTATTACGTACAACATCATTTCTTTGTCCTGTATCCTAAACAAGATTATTAAAAATTATTAATTTAAAAAGAAGAAATAGTGATTCTCAGAAAAATACAGAAACAAGATAGGTAGCTTAAAGTGAAATGCAATATTAAAAAAGTAAAGAAACAGGTTTAAGATTTGAGACATTGTGTTGAAATTATTTCCTCAAGCTACAAACCCCTATTTTGACTCTCCTAAATATTACAGCTTTTAGATATGGAGTCAAAATAAGGATTTGTAGCTTGAGAAAGTAATGTCAACACCATGTCTCAAACCTTAAGCTTGTTTTTTTTTTAGATTGCAGTTTTGCTTATATCTGTATTGTTTTGAATATCCCTATTCCCCTTTTAAAATTAACAATTTTCAATAATCTTGTTTCTTTAGCTTTTTGTTTATATCCATCATGGACATAAGTGAGTATAATAGTAGTACTGTCCTATTTGAAACAGTTTAGTTTAATGAAATGTGTAGTTGGTATATGGTCCTCTCTCAGAAAACAATGACAACCTTTGGATTGGCTTCATGCAGATTGGATATCTATTACTCCTGATATCATTGCCACAATATTATCATTGGTAGTGGTACAGTATGTATGACCACTATGACACATGATCAACATACCACGTTATGTATATGGTTATAAAATATATATAGCTACTATATTCATACCCTGTAGCTGTATGGGGAGTCTGTAAACACTGGATTGGAGGGTCTACTGAACTATACTGCAATGGTGCATGAACTGAATTTTGTAATAACATGAGTTTTATACATGCATGCATGCACATGCTATCTTTTAAACTATGACTTAAATATTTCTGTTGTGGGAGACAGCCTAGACATTTGTATAACATTTTAGATGTTTGTGTAACATGGCCAAAACTAATCATGCAGCAGTAAAAAACTGTGATCCTGTCAGCAGGATCGTGTCCAAAAGAGCATGAACCCTATACACAAACACGTGATACATGACATCAATAAGTTTATAATTTCTATGGTACATGTGTCATGCCTGCCATATAAACATTAAATCACATTCACGGTCTGTACACAGCTATATACGTATACATGTAGTAGATTATCAGGCTCCATGTAAACAACAGACTACATTAAAATGATTAGGTGTCAACAAGTACACAGATAGATATTTGATAGGTAGTCAATTAAACTTAAAAACTACACTACACAATGCACAATGATGCATTTAGTAATATTGACCAGGTTTTATTACAATATGTGCAGCTATTTCTCTATAGACTGGCAGAACAATATTAAATAATAATAAAGAAGAACAAATGGGCGATTCCTATTATGAACCACTATTGTGGTTCATGAGACAACAGGATACAAGTGTATGATTTAGATAAAACAGGTTAATGCTCCAATTAAAACATTCATTTTATTCTAACAGGGCAACTGGCTCATGGAATAAAGGACAATACTTCATAAGAGTTTAAGAGGAAAAACTGATGATTTTGTGAAATAATAAAGGGTGGGTTTCAACTTTTTACTCTTTCTTAAAGGTGGGTGTGCAAGGACAGCCTTAAAAGATCAAATGAAACCTAGTTGTCTGTATGTTACTTAATGTGCAGTCATTATCAGAAGTATTAGAATATGAACAAAACACAACCAACAAGTGTTAGAGAATTTGGATACTTACATCTGAGCCAATGCTTGTGCCATTACCACACCATCACAAAGATCTTCAACAGTTTTATTGTTTCCTTCTAAATCAAATGTCTTCAACTATGGATTAAAGAAATTATCATAAAAATGTCTTACATCATGTGTATTTTATGTCTGTTGATTCATAATTTTGATTAATCAATTAATTTACATGATGCTAACCAATATAATCACTACTCATATGTAACCAATTAAGTTGCTCAGCTCTAGTGTCTTGTGCAGATAAATGCACTCAAATCACTAATTCATTCATTCATTTATTGTGAATAAATACTTGAGTTCATTTTCTGTAGTACAACATAAATGTGATGTTCAAAAGTACTGAGAGATAAGAAAGAGCTACAAAAAATTACAAGCACTGCGTACTTACTATAACCTGAACAGTAAATGTTTGAAATGTATTACCCATCAGTAGAAATTCCAAACTCAACAAAAATGTACATATAGAAAGTCAAAAGCATATGGTACAATATACATCAATGGCCATAACTCGTATGCCACTAATCATTGCAACCATTACAAGAATTATGTTTATCAAAAAACTAAAGAAACACAAAGTTTTTCTCTATTATTTGGATCAATAAGACTTATTATGATAAATATACTTTTTAACATCCTGATAACTATTAACTTTATTTACAAACAAGGTGTAACCTCAATACATTCATACATCTCTACTACATATTTCAATAGTATTCTAAATTTATACATACATACACAGTTTGTATCATGTACAAGTCAGGAACGAAGGTGAATAATTATTGCACATTTCAAGTCAAAAAACATATCGGTTTGGTGATTCTTGACTTTAGACAGACATGTTAGTTTCGTTCATTCATTCATATGCATATAGCTTTTACTCCCAAGGTTCTAACTTGCACACAAGAGTCTTCCCTTCTATTTCACTATTTAGATTATAAAAAAAACTGTAATTGTAGCTTAACAACCTAAAAAATGTTGATTTATTGAGTGCTGACAGTTCCAGTAGTAGTATCCCACAGAGCTCTGAGCTAATGAGAATTGTCAAACCAAAGGTGTTTAAATTAGAGGCAAGCACAGAAAATTTGGAACAGTGTACACACTGTGGAAAATTCCTAGGAACCCAGTAAATAAAATGAAATACAAAAACTGGCATGAAATTTATCACAAATGTTGATTTTGAATGCATAACATATAGTTAAACGGTGTGTATAGTAAACATACATTTTCTCTCTTCAGATATGTAGACCTGTGTAAGCTTCTTTTAGAACTTAAAATGACCACATTTTTGTCACATGTTCTACATTATTTTTAAATTCTCAGATTTATAATTGATACCTGAGTAGAAAAACAGACCCAAGATGGGAAGTGTAATTAAAAAACCTAGGGAGTGCTAGGTTTTTGAGTACCAATGTCAACTTCTCATTTAAGTGTATATTTTTAATACATTAATTGACAAATTTAAAATATTTCAAAACTTTTACAAGATGAAAGAAACATTAAATTTTAATACTGTGAATATAAACACATCTAACTTACCCATTTTATCAGACTTTCTGTAGTATTCTCCATGATTCTGTTTCTTCAGATAATCCTTTTACTTTTTGGCTAAATTGCACAGTCATATAAAATTTCATAAATTCCTTGTCCTAAAACAAACTGTTAAGTGATTCCAGTTATCAAACAGCTAAGATTAAACATTTGAAGAACATAAGAAATTACAAATGGGAAAAAAAATTGTGGACATTTTAGCATACCTAACTAAGGAAAGTATTACACATCCCTTCAACAATATAAAATAAAACACTAGCAGCAAACAACCAAAAAAAAAAACACAACACACATTTCAAAAGTTGAAAATTCAAATGGTTAAATAATTCTACCTAAGACACTTACTTTGCTACATTTTATATAAAGTTACCCCTACCAACCCTATTAGACCAACTTTCAAGGGATTTTTTTCAGATAATTCATCCATGCCCTATCTTAAAAAACAAATTTATATCAAATCTACTTCTATGATCCCAATAATAATAATTGTAGCTTCTCATTCAGCCTTCACTTCTATGATGAGACTGATTCTGAGCACAATAAACATTGTAAACTAAAAATACAATATTAAATACACACATATATATATATATATATATATATATATATATAT